CCCAAAGTAGTCTGTTTACAATCATAGAATATGAAGAAAAAAAGAGAAAAGATTTATATATCAGAAGCGAGAACCCACACACTAAGACAGACCATGTTGATTTGATTTTTTTTTAAAAACAAAAAAACTTTATTATCAAAATTATTGCTGTCAGTTCAAACTAGTCATTAATTTACAATGTGGTAACTGTAATTGAAACCTTTTAGCAACATTCTGCACTAACAAATAAAGAAATATGAGCAAATCTGGGGCCCACATTTGTGACTCTTGGCTTGAGATGAATTCTAATAAAAACACTAAATAAAGATACAATTACTGCGTTTTGATAGGAACAGTCCTTGTGGTGTATTTTGGAATGGTTCCATAATTTAGGGAACTCAGGTTTTAGCAGAGCAGGTAAAATAACTCAGTAAGCTGTGGCAGTAGGGGGCACTGTATGGCTTTGACAACGGGTTAAAAGCCTGAGCGGCTCTGCACCTCGTCTTTGTGCACTGAAGATAGCAGGCAATTAAACGCAACCTTTTACTACCTAACAACATGGCTCACAGGCTGACTGTTACATTTATGACCAAACACCACAGAGACCTATGTCACATTTATGTGCTTGTATGGCAAGAAGCAAAAAGAGAGAGTGTATGATTGTGTATGTGTGCCTCCGCTGTCTGTCAGTCAATTGTACTGCCACCCAAACACTGGCTGTTCAAGACAACTGGATTGCTAACTTCAAAGCCATGCATATCACTTTGAAGGGGCTGCAAATGTATTCCCCTATCCGCATTCTGACCTCCATCCAAAAAGCCCTACACACACACACACACACACTCCCTCTCTCTCTCCAAAAACAGGCCATTTTCCGTTAGCTTATTAGAGCCCTAATTGACAACTCCTGCCCTTCAAAGCAGAAAGTCACTAGTTGAATTGCTAATGAGCAACAAAATGCGGTAGGAGAAGGCATGTGTTTCTGATAAGTGAGGACTTGTGGAGCCGCCTGAGCGACAACTAAAATGTGACAACTTGTGTGTGCACTGAAAAAAATAAAAATAAGAAATAAAAAAAAAAAAATGGCATGAAACTTTCTACAGCACAGCTTGCAGTTGTGTATTCAGATATTCATTTACTGGCACCCAGGTGACAGTTATTTTTCCCGGGTTCCACATAAAAATAATGTATGACACAGACTGTTGCAAAGGCTCGACAACGCGCTTCCTCACACCGACGTGAAGAAATTCAGTTGGCTGCAGCCCATCGAGACTTTTGACACTATGGTTGCTTTATGTGTATTTTTTTGAGATTGTGTCATTGCTCACAAAGGTTATGGTAAATGAGGGTGACAAATTGTTTTCAACTAACCCATTGTGCTGGAGTTGATGACTAATGATTTGTGGGAATGGATCCTACTTGGCTCAACAGATCTCACCACGTACGAGGATGATGCAGTCCTGACATTTTAGCAAGCAGTAATTATACCAGATCATCTGCACACTTTGAATCGTTGAGTTGGATTGAAGCATGAGATGGTCACACCTGTCTCATTTTGGTTTATAACCTGCAGCAGTAATTAATCAATTTTATTATCTTAGAGAAACAGCTGTCCTGAAAAAAATGATTTGTGCTACTGGCAGTGCTTTTAACTTCAATTGGAACATGTGTTGTGATTTAGCAAAAAAGAATAGGAACATGGAGTCTGCTTATTATTACAGCCTAATGACCTAAAAGCTGTTGAACCAAACACTGTCAGACCGCTGATGTTCCCTATAACATTCTGGGCTTTTCGGACGGATACTGAAAAGGCAGCAGTATTGTCTAACTTTAGAACACTTCCTCTATTCTTGTGTAGGCAGGCCTGTACAGTCCATTTCAAGCCATGGTGGAAAAACACCCTGCAGCCCATTTGCCATATTTTCCACAGGCGTACATGTCAAAATAAAATCCCAGATGGAAAATGGTGGTTGTGGTGCTTATTAATAATAATAATACTAAAGGGAAGCACGATGTGGGTAAAGACAATTGACCGCTTGCTGAGCTGCATCCTCTAAGTAGCTGTTGCTGCGCTTATTTCCATTATCGTGCGGGGAAATAAAGTATTTTACACCGATAACTTCTGCAAATTTACTGCTCGAAAAATTATTTGATTTCAGGAAAGGCTACACAAAAAAAAGGCTTCTCATTGAAAGCCACAGCTACTGATAGGGGCTGGAAAATTAGGAGAACCATTATGGAAATCGCAATATGGCCAAGTGCAATATTCAAATCACAGGAGATACAGTTTTTGGAAAATGGTAAAAAAGTGTCACAACATACCATTATTAATGAAGTGCTGTGGTGCTACAGAGATGCCTCACCTGCAACTCACATTCTCCACACATAAGGAAACATGCATGTTACAGATTACAGCAACAATCATGTCAGAATTGTCACATTTGCTTGCAAAAACGGCCATTTCCACTAAAATCACGACTAGTATAGAAATTGCAATTTGTGTCAAAATAATTGCAATAGAAATTGAAATTTTTTTTTTTGCATTTTTTTTCAGACCATTGTTGATTTTGCAAATCAAAAAAATCAAAAAAGTGACAACTGCTTCTGTTTTCAGCAGATTTCACAGTTGTTGCTAGCTAGCTACTTAAGCAAATTACGTACCTACCAAAATTTATTACTTGGTTGAAAAGGAGGTAACTCACTGTAAATAAAAGATGGACGAAGCTTTTAGGTCTTAAAAGTAAAGGAAATGCAGAAATGAACTAAGCCTGCATTACTTCTAATAGCCAGCAGGGGGCAACAGAAATAAAATCAGATAGTATAGAAATCTCTGAACAAATGGTCCTACTTCTCACTTGATTTCTCACCTCAGTAAACATTTTTCTAATAAGTTTGTGGTCACAATCTCTAGTTTAAAGTCTCGTTTAATATAGGATAATGCTCATCTAGTAAGGCATGGGCTCGATTAAGGTGAAATAGACAATAAAGCAAGGTATGTTTGAAGATGAGGCTTCCTTGTGTTTGACAGGTAGCTGTCATATCAGCCTACATAGTGTCCTTAAGTTCACAACTAGATTTGTCCTTTCCACCATTATGTATGGTTTCAAATAGAAGGATAGCAATGGCCAAATGTTGACCATGAGGCTTCAAATGTTACTCCAGTAGCCAAAGGGCAACATCACAGTGGTTACATCCATATTTTACATCATACAGTATATAACTACTGTAATGTTTGCTTACAAGCATCATATACAAGGGAAGCTGAACTATGAACATGGTGGCAACATATGTGGTATCCCTGGCAAACAGTCAGCATCTTCACAAGCTGATCAAAAAGAAGTAATGTTCTTTTATCACAGCGTGCAGCTGGGGTGACTTAAGTATTAATTATACAATATGGAAAAATGCAAGGTCAGACTGATTTCGACCTGTTTTTCTTCTTTGATTTTCTAATAAATCAATGATTTATTAAGAAAACCATCACTTACCTTGAAAAATGTAATTCTATCTTGGTTAATAATGTCTTGGCTTGCAAACTTTCCAAGATGCAGTAAAAAGCAGAACAGAGCTGTTGCTACCATAAAGTCTAAGAGTGACAAACAACACAGTGCACAATGTCTAGTATGCTGGTTGTGAACCAGGCTCTTTTAAAAAACATACAAATAAACAAACAAACAAAAAAACATAAGCTGTAACCCCCCCAGCAAGCTAAGCATGCTAACAGTTGCACCTTTTTTAGAGCCAAGCAGGAACCTCTGAGAGTGAAAAATGAAATCAACATGGAAGTACCAAAAGCTGTAGTCCCTCAAATGTCCACTTGAGGCGCAAAGCGAGTTAGTCCCCATTGGCCCACATGTTGAAATTTCCATCTTTACAGCAGAAATAAACATGCACACAGCCTGGTACAAAAAACGGTTTTGATCTCCCCCATTCATGTGCACATGGGGTGACGTTTTACACAAGCTTCCTGTTTAAATTGTATTAAGTTGTGCACAATCAAGAGCGTGGTTGCTTTGAGTGATAGGTGAGTGTCTTCATAGAGCACTCCATGACCCAGAGACATTGCATGGTCCACCTCAGCCCCACTTACGCTCCACCGATCTGTTCATTTTTGGATTAGGAGGAGTCAGGTATGGCCAAAGTGGCAACAGACAGACACATCACACTGAGCTTCAAAACTGTGTTTCAGGAAATTAGTGGACAGTGTCCCGGAGGGTTCATCCATCTTTATATACAGTCAATGGTCAGAACAGATAAACACACTGTTTAGTCCGTTCCTTGAATTTTTGCTCTTGTGTTTGTGGATTTGGAGACGTTAAAAGAAAGACACCACCTTTAAAGCTCTTTAAATGCTCAATATTGTGACATCTACAGCCCAATTCAGGCACACTTTACCCGCATGTGAAAAAAATCCCCCCAAAAATGTCAGGGCTTTAATGCCTAGTTATGATAGCTTTTATGGGACAATCACTGTTTGAATGAGATGTTTAGAAAACAATTAAGATAAAACTGTAATAACTAATAAGGTGGTTGCAAACCCTTAATGCTGGCGAAATTTCAAGTGAAAGCGTGACTGTTTAGTTTCAAAGTTTTTTTAGAGGCCCAAATAAGGTGATAGTATGATGCATTAGTTCAGAGGAAAAAGACTAAATTACGTTTTATAAACTACATAACAGAAACATTTCCTTCTCTTTTCTTATCCTTAAATCCTATTGGAGCCTTCGTCTAAGGAATCCCAGGATGAGACCAATAAGTTGGGAACCAAATAGTTCCCTGATGTTAATCAAAGTTCTTCAGACGGCTATATAAACAGATTATAGTAGACTTCAGACACATTAACTGTATATATTTATTACGTAAATATCCAACAAATCAGTGACGTCTATTTACATATTGAGCAACATCATACAGGGTCGTGACCCAAAGGTTAAGAAACTCTGCTTTACATTTTTGAAACACATGTCCTAATATGGTAATGAACATTTGCCCAATGTCCTGCTTCCTGTTGGGTCCACCTGAGGAAGCAGAGGAGTTTCCTGAACTCAGTTTTAGCAGGAGACTTTGTGTTCAGCCTTCACATAAAATCTAAAGTTGATTTATGGTGATTTCAGAAGGCACACAGAGTGGTGACACAACTCATTTCACTCGCTAGTAGACTTAAAAAGGGTTACATTTACTCACCTCACCAAGTCAGTCATACAGGAGCCGACCACCACGACATCAAAAGCCTCCTCGGCCATGATCTGATGATCAAGACACACTTTTGTTATTTCTCCAGCAACAACTCTGCTTTTCTGGACAGGAATTATCCTTAAGACTCCTCATTTAAATTACGTGTTGCTGATTTGTGAGATTTCTGAATTTGTTAACGTTCATCCAGCCTTTTCTGTAAAAACCTATTCATAAACAAGGACATTATCCAAAGCATAACGGACATCTTCGGGGCATTTCAGGCAAAATATGTAAACTAGTTTCTCAACAGCCTCTGAACAAAAATCACTTGATTTTATTTATCTCCCACATTAGCATGAGCTTGACTGAAACAAGGAAGTAGGTAAAAATAGAGCATTCATTGCTGGCTGAGTTGGACAAATTCCAATCTTACTGGGGATGGTGAGGTGGGGGGGCAGTGGGGGCATTTCAATGCTACACCACGTGACTGCACCACAGCCCAGCAAAGTCTTTAATTAATTCAATCCTCAGCTTGTATCGGAGCTAATGCTAGTGTGTTAATCTCTTCAAATCTCTTCCTAGGCAGTGGAAGACTTGGAAAGCCTGGCCGCTGGCTGTAGGATGGCTCAATTCTCTCTCCCACATCTCGCAGAATATTGTCTTCCCTCTGCAGGCATGAAAAGCTAGCCTAGAACCCTTCACTGCAGGAGAAAATAATGAGATCTGCATTGTTTGACCACTTGAAACAGCAGGAAAACCCCCTTGAAATTCTCCCTGGCTTGTTGAATTATCACGCAGTGACTGACCAACCTGAATAAATATGCGTATTTACAGTGTTGTGTAAAAGGTGTTGCTACAAAAATGTGCCACTAAACTTAAAAAAAAAAAACAGCATATGTGTCAAATGGCTGTTAACAGGCATTTTTAGCACCATTCGAGCAACGTGCACTCCACTATGGCGGTGTGATGCATTCAAACAATTGAATCTAAATAAAAATCAAGGTTGCACACACTTGGTTAAACAACTTGAACTGAGCCGTAAGCGAAATCCAAAAGAAAATGCTTTTGGACCCATTTGGAAAACCGTGTAAGATTACATATTTATATGTCTGGTTGGGGAGTTAAGACTTAACCAGATAATGATTGTCATTACAATGATAGGAATATTTTTGTATAAAAATGCTTTTCAGAAGTTTAGATAATGACTATAATTTTCAAGATACGTTTTTCAACCCTACCCCCGACCCACAAACAGTTTGTGAAATACTCTTTTTTTTTTAATCCTGTGTCATGTTTTCTAACCTTTTAACAAAGAGAGAATAAAATCATAGAAGAATGTTGAACTAAAAAACGTCTTATCTTGAATCAGTTAAACAGTAATCGCTGGATGAAAACCAGCTCAACATATTTCTCTCAGACTGTTTTTGTTGGATACTTTCAGAGTGATTGTGAATCACCCCTATGAAGGTGGAAATTCCCAGTTGTGAATCAGTCAAACTGGCCTCATGTAGAAACACCACTGGTATTGCTGCACATGCTCATAACATTTCTAGGCCTTTGTACTCAAGGTTCATTTTTATTTTTCAAATTATGTTTGCTCCGTTTCTACAAGAACAACACATTTCTGGTGTCATTCCACATGTTCAGTCTGTGAGTTTTCTTTCTTTTTTGATGGGCTATGGGCAATTAGAAACAATGCAATTAGCAGAGGTTTTGGCAATGAGACTAATGGTGTAATTCAGTTTTATTTAACTTGTGCAGACTGGAACCTTCATGGGTTGTTTATTCTTGCCCATTGATCACATTCATTACATGGTTCAGGCATGCACAGTGTGGTTCACATGATAAAAGCCCAATCTCTTGTGCATTTTACAGTGTGTCCAACACAGAGTTTAAACTGTTTCGTCAGTGGTTTTACAAATTCATGCCTTCAATCACACTTTTGATGTTGTTCCATGTGGTTATGCTGAATCACATGTTTGAAATCTATTTCACAGTAAAATACCAAAGCTTTTTAAAAATTACATTACAAATCAAATGGCAATAACTGTCAGAAAAATTGCAATTTGATGTTTCCCCCCAAATTGCTCAACCTTAGTAATCACAGGAGGGGAATGTAATAAAAGAAACAAATACAGGATTTACGGTAAAAGTCGTGCATTAAAGCTCAGGTATGTTATATGAATATATGCAAACTTGAGGATTAATTTGTACAGCAAAAATAATAACACAAATGGTTAAGAGAGATTTATCTTTTATAGTCTAATATCAGATAACACACGTTAAGGTTGTGTTTTCTTACCTAACTATTGAGGCATCATAAATAAAAACACTGCTTTTGAATGATTCAGGTGTTAAATAAATGATGCATTTACGTGTCATAATGGACTTTGTGGTCTTTTAGAACTGCATGAAATAATGTTGTGTAACAACAGAAGCAAACACCTCACCAGTATTGGTTCACTGTACAATGTGATGTCAGCAAAACTACTTTTGTGCAGCCAAGTTTTCAAAGTTATCAGATAAAATCTAAATGTCACAAATTGAAACCTTAAGCTAAGTTTAGTCAAATATTCGTTCTGGCGTCATTATTTTTTAAATGAACCGCCCAAGACTCAAAGGGAGTATGAGGCAGCTTAATTAGACCAACGCTAATCTGAAATAACGTGTGTTTATGTGAAATACAACACAATATTTACCTGGAATTCAAATTTGTTCGTGCAGAATAGACAACTAAGCAGCCACCACTGTGTGACGGTCGAAGTGCAGACTGACAGCTGCCTAGCGTTACTCCTACTGCCAGAGTCAATGTTGTCCATAAATCACAGTATATTCACTTACCGTGACTTTACATTGTTTAAGTGTTACTATGTGAAACGAAGCATGCCTTATGAGTAATATAGCACGAAGATATGTGGCTCCTGAAGTGAATATAATCGTTGTACCAACAGGCATTGTTAAAGACGACTAAACGCGGGGCTATCACAAGGACCCAAACAACATGTACCGGAAATTTTGAGAGCATGAAGTAAACATTGGAGTTCACGCTCAAATAATCTGATTTCCATCTCTCTCAGGTATTATAACACAAACCGCATGGTGTATTTGAATGAAACATAATGAGCAAGTTATTTGTAGACTTTACTAAATGTTGAAATTATGTCCATTTAACTCACCAAACTGTAATAAGCTAGCAGAGGCTAACGATACCAAGCTCGCGAGCCCTCACATCCTGATTCAAACTGTGGCGTAAAGACTAATTAACTTTAACCTAATTAAATTAAACGCTTACTAGCTAGTACTTGTTTCTCTGTTATGTATCTTCCGTACAATGCAGGCTGTCTGTGTGTTTATAATGACAGAGAAGAGACCAGCAGCGTTAAAGTTAGATTCATTTCCCCGCGACACCTCTTGCCTCTCACACGTTGCTGTCATAATCCCTGAGTTCAGTCTGCATAATGTTCTCGTCGAGACCTGTTTTCTCAGAATAACTGGGGCAGAAAGCTGAAATCTTGTTACAGGAAAGGAAGTCCGACGTGCGTAAAGACATTTCCAAGACATCAGGATGTGACAGCCGAAAACGACAGCGTCACCTGTGTTAAGTCGTTCACGCTCTTTGAAAAACAAAAACAGAAAAATGAATCAAAGTCATAAAGCACATTTTAAAAACAACAAGAGTTTGAACTGAAGTGTAGCCGATTTGAAATCGCAGACCACGGAACAGAACGCAGTCTAATCTAAATGAAAGACAGTGAATCAATAAGAATAAAAGAGCATTACAATCATAAATAAGAATACAAAGTGACAGTAAGGTAAGCTCAGGGTGAAAATAAATAATCTGAAAGCATTTCTGTAAACAGTCGCTCTGTCTCCTCAGACTCCTCAGCGTGGATAAAATGAACAACATGTCCCCTGAGGTTGCACTGCACCGGATCTCACCTGAGCTGCGGCCCCTGCTGTGCAGCGTGGTGAGGAACGGCCGCGTGGGACTGGACTCCACCAACTGTCTGCGTGTCACAGACCTCAAAACTGGGTGAGCTGTACTTTCGCACATCCAGTCCTCCTTGCTCTGCCGTGATGCTATGTTATAGTTATATGAAACAGATGAATAACATATACAGTCGCCCTCAAATGTATTCATACCCTTCCATTAAAGAAAAAGCAAAATTCATTATAGTCACTCAAATAACTAGAAACTGAAAAAAGTAGTAATAAATAAAAATTTGCTAAATTATAATTTAGTGGAATAAGACATTGCTTTTGAATTGTGGTTGAAAAGAATCATGTAAAAAAACAAAACTGTTCCGGACAAATTAGAGCACTTTGCTGATGAGCAGTGGGCCAAAATCCAAACACCTGTCAACAGGTGCAGAAGTCTGATTGAGAGTTACAGAAAACACTTGATTGCAGTGAATGACTCAAAGGGCAGTTCAACAAAATATTAGTTTACGGGTCCCATCATGCTTATTGGCTTGTTTTTTTTTTGTGTTGTTTTTAAAAAAAATATATATTTCTGTTGAACCACAATTCAAACACAATGTCAGGATTTTCATTACATTTTTATTTATTATTACTTTTGTCAATGTCAACTTATTTTAGCGACAGCTGTTTTTTTCCTTCTTTAATGGGAGGGTATGAATACATTTGAGGATGACTGTAAGTAAAGCTGCAACTAATCGAACAATTGATTTGTTTTCAACTGTTAAATTTGTCGATAAACTGTTTTAATAATTGCTTAAATGTTTTGAGCAATTAAAGAAAAGTTCTTTGAGTCCTGATTCTTCACTGTGGACATTTTCTAGTTTCTTGTCCCCTCTATAGTAATAAACGGAATATCTTTTACATGTGGACAAAACAAGACACTTAAGGACATCATCTTAGGCTTTTTGAAACACTGGTCAGCATTTTTAAAAAACAGAATTTCCAACATTTTATGGAGCAAATAATGAACCAATCAATCGACAAATTTATTGACAATGTAATTATAATTAATTGTAGTCCTACCCATTGGCATATGTGCCATAAGCAAAAAAATTAGCCGGAGCAAAATACTCTATGAGGTACACCTCTGAAATCTAACACCATCCAATACAACAGCTCTGCCATGCACAAAAAGCTGTATTATTGGGATTCTTTTGCTTTTGGACCCTGGCTTAGATTCAAACTGGTTTTGGGTATATTGGGCTGTTTGCACTTGGCCATCGGGTTGCCCCATCTATTTGTACCATAACCTCTTCTCTGTTACTACAGCTTCTGTAATCTAAATGTGGAGAATTGTACGTGTCCACATGGTGACTTTACGTGCAAAAGTAACTTCAATCTTACTTCCCCACAAATACCAGGTATTGTAGATGATAATTTTAACGGAAGTCAACATGCATTAAATCTTTATGTGTGGCAATCAAATTGAAAAAAAAAAAGTACTTTAAATCAGGTCACATCTTCCTGCAGCTTCCTGTTTGAAATACAGCACTCACAAGCTACCATTCATTGTTTTTTTTACAGAGCAGATTTCCTGTCTGACATTCAACAATGAAAACAGTTCTCCATCAGTACATTTTGTTTATTGATTCTTTATTTATAAATCAGTTTTTGCAAAATTACAGTCATATAATCTTCAGCAGGTGCATGCATTTGTACCAATGGGCTTTTAATGTCTTAAAATGGGTCTTTGGGTGGTGACTACATACTCAAGTAAGCAGGCAAAATTATTCTCAGTGCATTTTGTTGCTGGTGATTAGTTAAAAAAATTTATTTTTTTTTACTCTTGCCCAAACCTCTCTAAGGGGTGCCAAAGAAATCCTATGTGCAGGACAAACCCAAGGCACAAATCAGATTCTATTAAATGTCATGGCAGCTGAAAAAGCTAGAGTTGTTGCATTTGGCCATCAAGTTTCTCCAGGTCTGTTCCATATAATCTGACAGCAGCTTTAGAGAAAGGACACCGCAGATATCATGTATGTATAAGCAGTGATCTCAGGTTTAACACCTTATTCAGGCACTTTAGGTTTTGTCAGTAGGCAGGATGACATCCTACTTTGAACCTGTTTCTGTGTCTTTGTGGTGAGACAAAGTCCTGTGAATCCAAACTGAAATGCTGCCGCCTAGTATCAAATGATCCACTTGCTTGGTCCTCATTAAGCCATGTTAAAGTGGCTTTTTTATTTTATTTTTTTAGAAAAGATATAAAATACAGAGATAGTTGAAGTTTTGCTGTAATAAACACTATGATAAGTTTGATCATCACAGTTAGAAATGCAGTGTAGTTTACATTCTTACTGCTACATATTTTTAAGGATTTTTAGAACTGCCACTAAGTTATTTTTGTTCAGGTTGTATGCAGATTCTCTTCATGTTTGTCCATAAATATCCATACTGTCAGAAAATTGCTAAGAAAATTACTTACTATCCCACAGCTTAGGGTAATATCTTCAGTGGTCTTGTTTTGTCTGGCACAACCCAATTAATAATTGTATTGTGTGCAACAGAGAAGAGCATCAGATCTTTACATCTGAGAATTAGGATCCACCAACTATTTTGGTAGTTTTCTTTAAAACAAATTACAGAAATGATTAAATGAATATCTAAATTAGGTACGAAAATGTTGTCAGGGTTCTAAATTTCAGCAAATAATAGATAGAGAAGGCTCTCTGAATATTGCTTTTTGAAAATTTCACTTGTCAGTCCAAAATTGGAAAAATAAATAAATAAATAAAAAAGAAATGAGAAAAAAGAGAACAAGAAATTAAATCAGCGCTCCACTGATGAATCTGTGAGATAATTACAGCTAGAACACAAACACAGTTTTAACTACTTCTGATGAGAGATGCACTGATGTAAAATTCCGGGGCATGCAACAGATGATTTGCTGTTTGCTGCTGAAGAAAAATATGAATACAATACAATATATTGTATATATTAACAATATATATATATATGCCCTGGAAATTTTCCATCAGTGCATCTCTCATCAGAAGTAGTGAAAACTCTGTTTGTGTTGTAGCTGTAATTATCTAACAGATTAATCAGTGGAGCGCTTGTTCTATTTTTTTCTCATTTCTTTTTTTAATTTAACATTCCTGCTGATTGTCTCATGTAGTTTTCTATCATCCTCTCTGTTCAGATGTACATCTCTGACTCCTGGTCCTTGCTGTGATCGCTTCAAACTTCACATCCCCTATGCTGGAGAAACCCTGAAATGTAAGTAAATGAGTCACAATCCTATTTGGTTTCTTCAGCGGGCCTGAGCTTCAGCGCTGAATTGATTTTATTTCAGGTAAAATGTTTTCAATCCAACCTTGATCAGTGCTGAGATCTAATTCTGTCTCACAGTTGGCCGGTTTTCAAATGAGAGCTGGTTTACAGTCCACACCTTGATATGTGAGAGCATATCAGTGTTGCATTCAAAGCACACATTTAGCACGTTTTTTTTTCTTCTTCTTCTTAAGGGACTGTGACTATGCACTATGCAGGGCTAAATGAAGACACTGGAAATACTGTGACATAAACTTTGATTGAATGGAAGGAGAGCTGTCAATAAAACACCGCGTAAACATTCTGCATCGCTTTAATAAACTGCACCAAAGGAATGTTTTGTAATTGCAGTTTGTAGGCAAGCAGCAAGGCCAAAAAGCACCCACAGGAATTCCTTAACTGCAAAAACAAGATGACTGTTTTTTTTCTTCATGATGATGATCATGCTTAATCACTGAATTGATACCAGTAAACATGATGTTGTTTGTGCCACTGAACCTTTACTGGAAGGGTCTCTCACCTCTTAATCAAGTCCCCACATCAGAGGGTTTCCCTTCCGAGCGTGCCTCTTTATGTGCCCAATGAAGAATATCACTCAGTGTAGTAATAATAATAATTGGGAATGAGATTAATTTGAACTTGCTCATACTGGAATTACGGTGACTCACGAGACCCATGTCAGGCTTGTGTGCACTAACTTAGACTTTAATGTCCTCTGAGAGGCAATTTGTGGTGCAGCACAGGATACATCGACGCATTGCAAACGCGTTAAGTAAACAAAAGAAACAATTACCCTCAGTTCAGACTCTAACTACAGACATGACCTGACAATATATGATCTGTTACCATCTGTCAGTTTTACATGATCAGTGGTTTGCCAGCCATTAAGGTGTACGTTTGGGACACTGAAGAAACGTAATGAATTAAATGCGCTGATCTCATTCAACTGGTAGTCAAAATACACAATTAAGTCTCTCAGCAGGGTCTGTAACCCGTATCTCCACCTACTTCAAAGACACAGTACACGACACGTGCCAGATATATGAGCTAGATTGCAAGTTTTTTTGTGGCTGATGAGTTATTGACAAGTTCTTTGAACACGTGCCTACAGATTTCAGAGGGTTTTTCAAAGGAAAGCAGAAGCCCTTTAATGTGCAGGTCTAAGTGGTAAGTTGATGGGATCCACATTTGCAATCTGGGAGTGATGGGATATTCATCAATTCATCAAGATCAAGTGTGCAAAGTTCCATTTGGACATGAATTAGGTTCGATACACATGTGGCCCTGCTTGGGGAAAAAACGCTCACAGAAAGATAGAGGAAGTAGGTTTTGCTTATTTTGCACAATTTGCAAAAATCTGTCCAGGCAGAACTGGTAGTGGCTTATGTGAGGATGTTGTGGCTAGACTCTAGGAATGTGTGGATGTAATGTATAAAGCCCCTAAAAACTTGGCCTCAAATCATATTTCTCAAGAACTCTGAATGTTCGTCACTAGACAAGCAGTTAAAAAAAAACGTTGGTTGTCATCAGATTTTGTTACGTCCCCTTTTTCCAAGCCAGTAAGAAGACCACAGGGAGCAATCAATATAATAGCCCCCAATTTGAAATAAGAACAGTTGTGACTCGATAATCCGACCCTTAACAATCCGAAAGCCTTGTTATCCGACAGGTTTTTAGGAAAAATGAATGGAACTCATTGAAAACAGCCTTAACATACCGACAGCCTTGGATTCTGACTCTGACATGACATTTTATGTCACAAATAAGGATAAATATTATCTGATTTAACAATCCGTCAGATTGGCTACGTTCAGACTGCAGGATTTAATGCTCAAATCGGATTTTTTCGTGAAATCCGTTTTTTTTGCGAGTTCGTTCACATTTACAATGAAATGCGACTTGTATGTGATCTGCTGTGTGAACTTCATGCGACCCAAAACGACGTCACACACAAGCGAGTGTGCACACGGATGTTAACGGTGGCGGCAGTGCCACTCCCCCGCCGCCACCGATGGTGGAAACAGAACTGTGATCACTAACTAAACTAGCATCAGCAGTCAAGTAGTGCCTGTGCGTTCTGGCCACTTCCACCTCGTCGAAGCGCTCCCCCCGAGGTGGAAGTGTCCCCCGACCACACTGAATATTCTGATATTCATCATTAATTGGGCCGAATATCCAGAGACCAGAAAGTTCTATTCGGACCAGCTCTCATTTGTCGTGTCAATGACGTGTAGGTTGGATAAGTGTGATCTGGCCGTTCAGACAGAAGTTGCATGGCGAAAGAGCAGATACCTATCGGATTTAGGACCACTTAACTTTGATGTCAACTGACAGGCCCGTGGCGTGCATAAGCGCACCGGTCAAAGACATGCATAGTGTTCTAACAATACACTAGCTATTATAACAACTATAAACAATAAATATTAACAACAAATTACCCTTCAAGCATCAAGCCTTCCTTGTATCTTGACCTCTGTTTTGATAATCCGACAGCCTTGCTATCCGACATAAAAGAAGGTTTTACATTTAGTGTCGGATTATCGTGTCACGACTGTATAATTGTTTTTTAATTAGGCAGGAAGTAACGTGTTTGTAGGAGCCCCTTATGCACACTGTGTCTAGAAAAAAGTATGAGAACCCTTTTGGAATGAACTAGTTTCTGCATCACAAAATGTGATCTACAGAGAAAGTACATAGAAACACAAGGTACATAAACTAAAACCTCACAAACAATTACAAACTTCCATGTCTTTAGTGAACACACCCATTAAACATGGCCCACACTGGTGGAAAAAGTAAGTAAACCTTTTCTCAGCCTCTCCAGCTTCATGCACATCAGCAATTCTTGATCATAAGTCTTAGGAGATTTCTTTTTTTTTTTTCCCAAGGATGATAGTTCACATCAGCAGTTGCTTTTTGTGAATACCAAACTCAAAATGTTTGGGTGTGTTTTTTTTTTTTTTTTTACAAGTCAATGTAGTTCTAACACACACCTCCAGTCTTGTTCCATTGATTGGACCGCAGGTTCCTTGCTCACTCCTGACTCCGGTGAGCGTTTGTTGATAACACACGCCTAGGGGTTCACATACTTCTTTTTCCAACCTACACTGCGAATGTTTGAATGATGTACTCAACATGCACAAGAACAATGCACTGATTTGTCTGTTGTTAGTTGAGATAGGCTGCGTTTGTTCGTTACTTTGACGAAGTAACTACCCTGTACAGTGTGAGCCATCGTTTAGGGAGACGTTTTTAATTCATAGGTCACTTGAAGTCATTTAAAATGAATTCTTACTAAAAACAAAATGCCCTGAGTTACACAAATAGTGCATTGGTTCACACAGAGAACACTATTCAGCTTCTTTATACACACATTGTAAAACCAATGCATGCATAAATGAAAGTAATAAGGGTCCGAGCACTAACAGTACAAGGACCCTATTGAAACCCTTGTGATTATTATTATTATTTTACCGACTTTTGAAACTCAAATTAGAGGGTCTAAACATTCCCCAAAACTCACCAAAAATCGCCACACACACCAGAACTGGCGAAAAATCTGATATTTTAAGGGACTTGGACATGTCACTACCAAAATGGCTCCACAGCGCCACCTTCAAAATTCCCAAAAATTCTTCAGGAGTCCCATCGGAAGCACGTTTTGTCTAGAGCTACGACATTTGACAGGCATATAGAGCAGGTCGGGACGAACAAAAAAATTGACCAGCTCAAAGCTCTAAAATGCAACACGGCTCAACTGCGCCCCCTACAATATTTCAACAGAGTCCCATCGGGGCTACATTTCACTTAGAGCGACAAAAATCGGTACACATATGTAGCAGCTCGGGACGCACAAAAAAGTCCAATAGCGTGTTTCTGTAAACCCAACAGAAAATCTGCCATGTTGGAAGAAGGGCGAGCATTATGGGCCATTTTCCAATGCCACTTGCGGCTTTAATTCACTTTTTTTCCTTGCCACTGATTGAGAAAACATGTTTTCAGTGTCTTTGAGAGTATGTTACACACAGAGGCACATTGCAAGATGTTGAAATGGTTTATAACATCCAGACAACAGCAGGATGAGAGTTCAGAAATCTCATCCTGCTGAAAACTATTTGGAGTACAGGAACTTGTATAGCATACAGTGTAAAGCATTGTGTGGGCATAGTTCACCTTTAGTAAATGTGTAGTAAATGCATGTAGAATGACACTAAAATAATGGACCTGAAACAATGCTATCAAGATGTTGACTCTATATTAACAGTGAAAGCTATCCTACTCTTGTTTAACCATGAAAGGAAACTACCCCATACAGCGTGAGCCATAGTTTAGGAAGACATTTTTAACTCATAGGTCATTTGAAGTAATTTAAAATGAATTCTTTAAAAAAATAAAATGCCCTGAGTTACACAAATAGTGCATTGGTTCACACAGAGAACATCATTCAGCTTTCTTTGTACCCACATTTTAAAACCAATTCATGCATAAATGAAAGTAATTCACTTTTTTTTTTCTTGCCACTGATTGAGAAAACATGTTTCCAGATGACAGTTTAGAAATCTCATCCTGCTGAAAACTATTTGGAGTACGGGAGCTTGTATAGCATGTAGTGTAAAGCATTGTTTGGGCACAGTTCACTTTTAGTAAATGTGTAGTAAATGCATGTAGAATGACACTAAAACAATGGAAACAATGTTATCAAGTTGTTGACTGTATATTAACAGTGAACGCCATCCTACTCTTGTTTAACCATGAACGGAAACTACCCCTTACAGCCATAGTTTAGCAAGACGCTTTTAATTCATTAAGACAGGAAAGCAGTAACCTGAAAAAACAAAAACAAAACAACAAACTAGCGCTGGCATTCAGGCATGGCACGCGACATCTCTGCAGCTGTTGCGCTTGCCGCTGTACTTTCCTGTGCTTTGGCCTGAGGAAGGAGGTTTGTTTAATCAAGGATGCAGAGCCGCAGGTTGGTCTGTGCCAGTCCATGGACCTGCCTACTGATAGCGTGCAAGAGCATTGCACACTCTGCACAGAGCCAAGCACTATTAATGCTTAACCCAGCCCCCCCCCCACCCCTTTCCACTCCACCGCCGTGGCTGGTACTGCTAAACAACAATTTGTGGCCTTTTGTTGTTGTACACCTTCAATAAAATGTCTGGCTGAAATAAAAGTACGATTTTTTCGAAGGCACGTTATGCAGCGACTGGAGTGCACTTTTGAGCGGCTCCTTCAGCGCCGTCTCAGGATGTTACGAACAAAGCAGCGTTTTAAAGCCTCCGTTATAACCTGTAAAGTTTGCACTTCCAAGACCTCCATTTCCCTCTGGAACCGTGCCAGTCGTTTTCTCACAACCTTCCAGTGGTTTGTAACAGATTTACAACACATCCTCTTGTTTCCTCGTTTGACTCTTCTCCGCTGGAAAAATACTACCACATGTGTACGTTTGTCTCTTCTCTCTGTCTCTGGAACAACAAAAAAAAAAAAAAAAGAAAAGAAAGGAAAAAGCAGAACAGAACAGTCTTGCAGCACATAAATAGAATTGTGTAACATAATATCAGAACATTGTGAACCACCACATCCATGTGCTTGCCATGCTGGCAGCCATGTTCAGTTGTTTTTTTGATCTGAATGCTTCGGTAATTTACTTGTGTGCTCTTTTAATAACAGTATTTTAGCACGTACTTGCTTCACTCTGTTCAGGTTTTGAATCAACATCCTAAAACCAAACTTGATTTCAGAATTTAGCGTCGCTTTTTTTTCTTGTGTACTACATTGAAAGTACAGAGGCAATTATCTTTACAAGACGTCTTTGCCAGGATTTGAGTGGCTTCAGCGGTAAATGTCAAGTTTGCTCATTACTTTAGGTACTTAAATTAAAAGACCCCAGAGCTCAGATGCATATTATGCGCTTAATGCAGCCGCTGAAAAGAAAAAAAAAAAAAAAAAGCTGCCTCAACAAGTCGGTTCATGCCAGATTCAGAAGACTGATAGGGTTAAGATAATGTCAGATTGTTCCCAGCACAATTTCATTTGTTTCAGCAGCTTTCAGAAAGTGTTCTCATATCATGAAACCAGGCAGAATAAAGCAGATGGCTCTACTGATACTGAGGAAATACACCTATTTTCTTATTTGTTGAAACAACATATATGTTTTTGGCATTTATTATTTGCTGGTTGTGTTTGCTAAGAGTGTATATTACTACAAAAAATGAGCCGACATGCTGAGATAGTTTGATATGCACATAGTGTAACCCATGCAAAACAACATTTGAGATGCATGTTGTGCTCAGTAATCAGTCGAGTAATGACAAGTTCTTCTCTTTCGTTTCAGGGGATATCATATTCAATGCACGCTATCCAGAATTGCCTCCAGATTTTATTTTTGGAGAAGATGCAGAGTTCCTCCCTGAACCCGCAGAGCTACCAGTGAGTACTCTGGAAATTTATATAAAATGCAGCTTTTTGCTCGCTGTAAAAAAAAAAAAAAACATGCTATCACTTTTACAGTGCCTTGTGATACTGCTCTGCTGCACAAGAAAACAAATTTACCACGATTTGTTTTCGCTCCTTCTCGCTTGGTGGATTGGTTTGCCAGATTGCATGTTCTGAAATGTCAGACAGATGCCTCAAATTGCTGATCAAACTTCACCGATCCCAGTAGCCAGAAGGACTTAAGGTATTTCACATATCTCTTTGGTAAAAGCAAACTAACACGACGCAGCAACCGCCGTGAGTGGGAGATACCTGGAAATGTTGCAGTAATTGTCGGTTGTGTTTCATTATGTGTTTTTATTGTGTCTTACTGTTTATCTGAAAATCTTATCATCTCTGTGAAGCTGTGATTCACTAGAAAGCTAGTCTAAACAAGATGTATGTGCTGCCTTTGATCGTGATGTGTCCTGTAATGCAGAAAGTACAGGTTACTACCGTCAGATTAGCATTCAGGTGCACAAAATTCTATTTTACAGATTAGGAGATTCATGTTCATTCTTGGAAACGATATTACCGTTCTCCCTAAAGTTTATTTCCAAGAACCCATTTCCCTTCCATTAATTTACACCTAAAACTGTCAACATAGATGCATCTAGACAACTTGTTTGAAGTCTAGTTTGAGAACTGGTTTTAAAGGACTGATTGCATCAGCATTGTCTAATTTCAAAAAAGGTGTGGTTTTAATATTTCATAAGTTGCGGCACTTCTGAAAGTCGTTGCAACATGATCGTAAATTCCAGCTAATCATGCTTTAACCACACTTCATTTTCAACCCTAAACTGCATTTTAATGTTCGAAACCTGGATTTATTTTGAACCCAGCAACATGAGGAGAGAGAAAAGGGAATGCTCGGTAAATATTATCTGGTCATTTTTACTAAAAGGTTACTTTGTAGGAGTATTCTAAAAGCTTTTACAATTTAACCTCAACAAACTGTACATTTCTGTCTGCCAGACATGGACATCTGTCTCACAAGGTGAAGTGCTTGTGATAAAAAACTGGTTATATGTCTGCTTCAGCGATGAAAAGAAAGATGCACATGCTTGGAGGTTTATTTTTATCTCCCATCAAAAGGCGTGTGTGCACAAGAATGACAGTACTGTGTTATTAACCACACAGACAAATGGGTAAGATTTAAAAAAAACAAAACAAAAGGAGGTATATCAAATTTAGTTTCAAATTCCTGAAAACATTAGCAGGATTTTCTGCTCTGGAAGACTGACATCTTTAAAGGTAGCCCAAGTGAACTGTACTAATGATGCAAGTGGACCAGTTTGTTTTAACTGAAGCACAAAGATTCGATGTTAAATCACAAACTGTGGATGCAGAGCATTTGTGTCTCTTTGCAGCTGTGGACTAAGTTCTTAATAAAGTAGGCACGCAAGGAAACTCACAATCGTTGGTGGCTGAGTTCTGCCAATCATGGCACCAGATACAGATATGGAGGCAGCTGGTTTAGTCCAACTGCTAATGGGCTGTAATCATTATCAGTATAGGGGTCATGCAAAGTGTGGCCCCAGTGCATCATCAAGCCGTGATTTCTGCCCCGTCCAAAAACAAATCACATAAATGAAGAAATAATTTACCGGTCTAACTTCAGCATTATTTTTTGAAATAAAAAACACATTTCTGAACTGTTTATGACACATACTTCAACACACAGAGATCTCTCCGGTCTCACGGTTCAGGTGTTGACGACAGCGCTCCTACCTACCCGGACCGTAGCAGCACATCTGGGCTCAGTGCAGCGATCTGCTTTGCTTTGACGATGCAACAAAAGTGCATGTCATCACATTTTGATGCAGGTCGCCCCAGGCTAGTGGAAAAACTTTCTTGCTCAACTTTCCACTGGAGCCTAGATGGGCCCTTTTTTGTCCTCATTGACAAAGAATTACCACTGATTCAGTTTTTTTGATCCCATGTGTGTGATAAAACATGCATTTTTTTTGTAATAAAAACCATCTGCGTTCTGCTCAGTGACTGTTTCACAGGTAATTCCATCATCAGCACACGCTTTGGCTATCATCGCTTAACAAACCTGGTACGATGTTGACTGTAAAAATAATATCTATTGGCAGTTGTTGACTCAGAACTGAGTTGGGTTATTAGGCCTGCATGGAAATTTTCACACTACTGAGTACTTTGTAGCTGTAGTTGTTTAGCTGCTACCCTTTAGTCCACTGCTATTTTTGAAGCAGCCTAGCATGGAGAAGCTAAATTCCCCTGCTTGTGTCAGAGTCTGGGAGAAGAGAGGGGAGTATTGCTCACCGTCTCATAAATCCAGCTGTGCACATAAGGGGAAGTACCTCTGCTGAGCCAGTGCTTGGCAGCCCATCGCTTGTTTATTTTCTCACTTATAGTCGTGCTGTGTTTTGCAGTTCATGCTTTCATAATCCTCCTTCGTCTGACTCTGTGCCTGAGATCCTCCTCTGCTCCCTCCTTTTTCCTGTACATTTTCAGTAAGTACATGCCCCCTCTCACTGGAAAAAAACTCAAGATTCCAAGCAATTCCTTAAATTTCCCCCCATATCTCCGGGGATTTTTTTTTTTTTACCATCAGCACTGGCTCTGTGAATTAATCTTGTATAAATGGACCACTTTCCTGCACAGTGTTAATGAGACACTAGCAGTTAGAGTAACATGTATTTTTTAAAAAAATGAAATGACAAGATTGTGATAGTTAATGACAATAAAAACATTTTTGTTTTAGTGACTTGTAATCCATGAGAACTCACAAGCAGTGTGTTTCTGGCCTTTGTTATCCAGTGGGGGTAAACATTAGGCTAATTTTAGGTCCTCTGTCAGTGGCTGGTTGAATTCCTGATGTCTCAGCAACACATTGCTCTTGTTTACAGCCAGCCAAGGGTATCATTAGCTTCTCTGTTTAGGCTTGTGTTTTTCTCTGCTGTCACCAGGCCTCGAGTAGGTTTGTTATCCATGTTTCTTGTTTAGACACAGAAATGTATTGTTGTTGCAGAAAAAAAAAGGCAGAAATAAAACATGATGCACGTGACAGTGGATGATCAGCACGGTTTGGTACAGTATCCTTGTTAGAAGGTGTATAAAATCTTCAAAAATCTTTTTCACAATAAGTTCTTCCTCTCACTAAATTAGACTTCCAGTAACCAGGGTTTGAGACAGAACATGTGGCTGTGACTTCTTAACACATCCAGTATTCCATCACTACAACTTTATGTGATTTAGTGAAATTAGCACAAACCTAGACTGCTACATGCTATCTGCCTCAGTGTGAACCTTGAGCTTGGATGTGCACACGTTTTTTTGTGTATTTTTTTGCTGTTTACAAAGAGTATGTCAGTCAATTGTTTGCTGCCTGTACATGTCATTTTCACACCCCCACACTGTACATGGTAGCCACACAGCAGTCATATACTGACCTATAGCAAGCGTTTGCACCTTAGAAGCAGCTATTGGAGTCCCCTAATGATGCTTTAAGTACATAACATTATTTTTTAATGACCCTCATTAAGACATCCAGCTTAGCATCTAAAGTGAAGACTGGCATTTAGAAACATCATTAGTTTCAATTATATCTGATATCTACAATTTTAATGATTAAAAAAGAAGGGATTCCTAAATATTGTTCCACTTTCAAATCTATTAATTTGAATAATAAAAAAAGCACAGTGATGTTAGTAATTTAATTATTGTCACTCACTTTTTACAGTATTAGTTATCATTCCTCTTTGAGTTAAAAGTGCTCTAACACAGCCTTTACTCATCCTTTAGAGGGTGTAGTAGCTCAAACATAAACTTCTAAGCCAGCAGCGAAGAAGAAATTCTCTAAACCTCCGTGATTATTAAGAAAGGATCTTTTAACGTTTAAACCATAATGGATGAGGGATGAAAGAGACTTAAACACTCCAGCTGGATGATGAGAGGCCACACGTCCCACAAATAGACCTTTTATAGCAGAACCGTTCCATGAGCCATGGAATATGAAGTCTGCCACAAATTTATTGAGGTTCACTGTTGCATTGTTGCTAGGGCGCAAGGGTTGACTGGAAAGTGCAAATGTAGGCTAAATGGCATCCAGACCGTGGCTAATTGGCCACCAGAGCCGCTGCCCACCTCAGAGTTCTTTGAAACTTGTAGTGTAAAGGCTTGTTTTTAACTGGTCACTCATGTTAGCCCTTACAGCAGCTTCACAACTCTAATTATATTAGGGCTGTGGAAAGTCTTCTGCAGGTCTAATGGGTTTATTTTGGGCAAAGAGGGAGCCATTGTTCCTTTTAACGTGACGATAAATCTTAAATTGACCAATGATTGCCCCCATAACTTTAATCAGCGCTTAACCGCCCTGACAGTTTACGACTGTATAACCTAAAGATTTAATTGATGCCACTCAGTAGTGGAAAGGCGGTTCATCAGAGATTACCTAAATTGTGGTGATCATGTCGAGACTGTCGTTTAAGTAGTACACAGCATGCTGTGTTGACTTTACTATGGGAACTGAAGATGAATGTAAACCCAGAAAATGTGGTGACTGAAGTGGCTTGTTGGGCTGGAATAATCTAGCCTTAATGCATGATAATGTGTATGTGTATGTGCACAGCCCTGTTGCCAGTTAATTAGGTATACACAGCTAAAAGTAATGCAGTGAAATACAACAGACCTTTAATGTAGACTGTAGTATGCCTACAATGTTTGTGTGAAGTGCCGCCCAACCTCATTTAAAGGCAAAAGTGTTTATACTCGTTGCAAATGACTGCATTTGAAAGCAAATGGAGTAGTAGGCAAATCTGTCCTCAAAGGTATTTGTGGTGTTGTAATTGTTTGTCTGTGTGGAGTGGGCTGAACAGATACTTGGTTTTGGGATGTTGAGGTACAGTTGCAGTTGCTGTTCAGGTAAATCACCCTTCACCCTCTGGTATAAAGACGTGATATGATGCTGCGGTTTGTAGCCTTGTCTT